ATGTATGTTCTCCCTCATATGTGGATACTAGCATAAATCCTGATAAGTGATTATGGATCTGGGCATAAGCACAGGAATCAGGATAATGAAAATGAACCAGGGAGCTAAAGGAAAAGAAAGAATCTGAAAGAGAACAGTATGGAAACTGATGTTAATAAAAGAGATGTGGATAAAAATTGATATTATTTTAAGGAGAAGGGGATGGAAGATTACACAAGGAAACTAGGAGATAAGGGAAAGAAGGAAATTAGAGATGTGGAACCATAGCAAAAGGGTATTATTAAGGGAGAAATGGAAAATGGGGTAATCTAAATGGGGAAACCACGGTGGAAGTGTTAGACAATGGAAGAGATAAATAATGCCTAGCTAGTTTAAAAAAAAAATCAGAGGGAACCATATTAAACAACCTACAGGCAAATTATACATACAACTAACTCAAGAAATATATATCCAGGAAGGGTTTATCTGAGAACGTTTTGTCTTTACCCAAGCTTTATCTACATGACACATGGTTATTAAAAGTGCCAGACAGGTGGAACTAACCTTCTTGGATGTTTAACTGTCGTACTTTGAGGCCTATAATAATTTGGTCCAAGAGACATAAAGGACAGTTTTTTCTCCTTGCCCTCCTAGGTCAACTAAGTTCCAGGGAATTATGAGAATCTCTCAAAATGTCCTGTATCTGTGGTGAGCCACCAGCCTTCTTGATCAAGGAGGCCATGGAGACCCCATCCAATGGACTTGACTCAGCATCCAGTCTACAAAGAGGAAGGTCAACAGAGAGGAAACATTTCCTCTGTGCTTTCAAGCGAAGCCAGCTATGATCGAGTAGGACCTATGACTTATCCTCACTTAGATGGCCTCCTCCCAAGCCAATGTGACCCCTGAGGAACAAAAGATCAAACAGCCTTAAGAGTAGAAAAAAATTGGTTTATCTGGGTCAACTGTAAGGTCTTAAACACCCAAAAGGAAAGTATAATCAAAGATTAAAGGGGTCAACATAATTTTTAATAGTCCATATGTATAGCTAAAGGCTACATAACAAGAAACAATGCCAGACAGGAAATACCTTCCTTTGAGTTGTTGGCCAGGGTGGCCCAAGGGACTCTCAGACAGTAACCCAGCATACAACTAGGAAAATAAACAGCAGACCCCACTTTTATTTAAAGGAATATTGGCAACTCATTCCTGCTAGATGAGGAACAGCTCTTCTTCCTAAAACAAAGAACTCTAGATAGGCTGACTAGATTCAGTGGATGGCCAAGCACTGGGGAATGGTTGGGGATGCTGAAAATACAGTGGAGAGTAACAGGGGTAACAGAGTATATGGGCTCCAGTGGTGGGGGCTATGGGAACGTGCCATTTGGGAAGAGGGCATATAAATGAATAAGATTGTTTGGGATGTGCTGTATGAAATATAAACAGAATATTAACAAATAAAGAAATGAGTTATGTTTAAGGAAGAATCATAAACATTTGTTTCATGTTAATTAGTAGAGGTGAAAAACATTACCTTTGAAATCTACAAAATGACTTTATATCCATACTCAGGTGCCAAGGATCTGAGTGTAACTGACTATGACTAGTAATAATGTGATACATAGAGATTAGAGAGGCATGTGCAAACATCTAAATGTTAGTAGCATTAAATATGTGTTTTTCTGTATGAAACAGTATATTTTAAAATGTAATGGAGATCTTTGTTAAAAGTTAAAACCTCATTCAATTGTATATTTTATAGGCTTATACTGAGTACAATAATGTGTAACTGTATTAATTCAACACTGTGAACCTAAAAATTTACAGCCAATTTAAACCTCATTTAATTTTATGTCTTATAGGGTTTATACTGAGTTTAATATTGTATAACTGTATTAATTCAACTGTGAACCTAAAAATTTACAACCACTTTTGAAAGAGATGCATCTTTGCTATGGAAATTGTTATGGAATATGTTAATGCTGTAATGAAATGCTTTTTCTACTCATGCACTTATTAAATAAATATTTTTTAAAAATCAAATCAGGAAACCAAATTAAAAAATAAAAATAAAAAATAAAAATCTGGGTAACAGACCAGAGTATCTTACTATTTTCTATTTATGTTCCTGGAGTTCTGGCCTTGATACCCTCATTATTTGAAATGACCAACACAGAAGGTAGTCTTAACCTGCTGTTTCCTGCCCATACACAGGATCAGCAACAATCCTTGGAAGGAAGAAACTTTGGCATATCTCAGGGAAGAGAATATTTTCTGGCTTATCAACTGTAATACACTGTATTCAAGTACCAATTTCCAGATCAATATTTTAAATAACAAGAGTTAAACTCAAATAAAGATAAGAAAAAAGTTTAAATTTATTGGCGTAATTATCTGAAAAGTTGAGAGATTCTGTGTATTCAGCAATTATTCAGATAACGTAACCAGCACCTTCTGCTTACCTGTTCACATCTTTCTGAGGGTGAGGCAATAATAATCATATCTAGCTTGCCATTGAAATCAGCTTTGTCTTTTACCCATAGGTGACCTAGCAATTCTAACAAAGTATTATGATAAGGTCTATATAAACAATGCCTATTACTTGAGTCATTGCTATAGTAATAGAGTGGGAAGTAGTAGTTGGCAATACTATGATTGATGATTGGTTAGTCTTGAGAATTTTGTATGTATTAGGGTATGAAGATGGTCAGTTTTAAGGGATGCTGAATAGAGTAAGATAGAAGACTCTCTTTGCAATATACCCAGTACTACCCTCTGTGTAGCATGTAAAAAACTACACATGGAGGTGTCTAAAACTCAAACTCATCTTTTAACAAATAAGAAATAGGAAAAATGTGATGAAAGTAAACCACATGAGGAATCTGATGAAAATCCAATGAAATCAAAGTAGCAATACATATTGTCATCAGTGACTATAATGCAGTGAAATCTTGAAGAAAAGGTAATTTTCAGTAGGCAGATGGGAGAAAAAATTTTTTTCAGACTTAAGACACAACACAAGGAATCAAAGGGAATAACATCATATCCCACATTAAGGATAATGCTCAATGAAAGTATGCTTACATTCGTAAGAAAGAAAATGTGTTGAGTTTATCTTTAAAAATAAATACAAATATTTCATAAGATATTTATATGTAAGGGCGTTCATATATCTATTTAAGATTATATATAAAGATATGGATTTTAAAAGATATAAAGTATTCATATGTATCAATATACATACATGTATTTTTTAGCTCTAAGTGCTAGAAGCAATGATCCTTTAGTAACACCAATCCCACCTGCCACTCAGATCTTGATCTCTAATCACCATTGATAATAAAAAGAAAAGAAATCCTTATTGAAGTGACTGACTAGGACAACAGAACTGAAGTACAAACCTAGCATATTATTTTGTCATGCCAGAGAATGCTCATTAGGAAAACACAGAGGCTGACATGTGCAAGTGCCTGCTGACCTTGATAAAACAGTTTCACAAACACTATAAATAATATATACTATTGGGTTACAGCTTAGAGAAGGAGATAAATACTAATGACATAATACGGATATAAATAAATACTTGAATAAGTAAGCAAACACACAAGGGAGAAGACATAGGTCTCCATCACAGTAAAGTCACATTAGTGGAAAGTGAGGAACAGAGAACTACCATTTGGTGAATCCTGGGGCAGTGAATGCCTCTGACTGCAGTACATAAAGGCTATTAAAACTTTGGGTGGCAACTTACAGGAGTTAAATTCCCATTGTCTGTATTTCCTAAAACACAATGAACAGACACAGCTAAAGCTAGTAAGTTTATGTTTAGCAAACTGAGTTTGTACTCACTTAACTAAATCACCAATAATAACACATTCTACATTATTAATTCCTTGGTGTAGTGCACTGAGGAAACAATTTAATTTCTGTGGTATTGTAAGATTTATTCTGCTCATAAGAAAACACCAAGAAAATCTAAATAGAGGGCTGGATAGATAATGATTGAACTTCAAGACTGTTAAAATTTTTTTATAACTTTAAGAGAAATTTTATCTATTCAAGAATTTCATACAATGAATTTTAATTATATTCAAACCTCCTCCCCCCCATTTCCACCCTCACTACCACTGCTTACCACCCCAACCCCTGACTTCATGTCTACTAGGAGAAAATGAAGAGCCCCATCCATCTTACATAAAATTTCTGAGTTGGATGACTGAGAAATCATATCTCATGAGAATGTCACTGGTCTATAATTCTTATACAGGAGTGTGCCAAAGTAAGGGACCAGTCCCTTTCCTTTGGCTCTGAATCACCAAGGTTTCTTGAAATAGGATTTTCATTTTTAATTTCTGTTTCATTTACACACTACTTGGGAAAGTCAAGTAGCGATGTCTCAGTTTCTCAGGGTCAGAAATACTTGGTCTTCCTCATCAAAGTTAGTAGTTCACAGCCCTTGCATGCAGGTTACACTTTGGTGGTTTCCTGACTTCATTCAACACAATGATCCCACAGTGGACCAGAGGGGTCTCCAGCAAGTTGATTCCCTACAGAGTTTTACTGTGGTAAAAGAAGCTAGGTCTTCAGATCAATGATCTCAAAGATCATTGCTATGTGCTCTGGAGCAGAAATTAGCTCACAACCTACAGTCAAAGATTCTCTGAGTGGTAATTGGGAAATTTCATAGCTTCACACAACAGCTTAACACCAGTGTCCTCTAGTTTATTTTCTGCAATCTGTACACTTCTCAGCTTCCTAATGTTGAGGACTGCAGAAAGTCTTGACAGCTGCTGAGTGATGAGGATGGTTGACTGACCATGAGTGCCACTGGGGCAAGTGGGCTAGCAAGCTTACTTGGTTTCACCCTGCCAGTGAGTATGGACAGCCAGACAGGCTCTGCTGTACCTCACTGGTGCATGTGGGCAGTCATGCCAGCATGAATCTGCCCTGTCAAAGCAAGTGGGTAGCCAGGCTCTGCCAATGCATGTGGGTGGCCAGGTGAGTTCTGCGCCTGCAAATGTTAGATTCCTTCTTGTGTGTATCAAAATTCACACTGAACAGAGTTCTGGATAGCAAAAACAAATTCATTTCTGCATCTGTCTTTCAACCCTTTGTCCATGAATGGTACACACACACACACACACACACACACACACACACACACACAAAGTACTTTTGTTAAAACCTTGAAAGACAGAAGAATGTGGAAGGATCAAAGACTTTAGAGGACTAAGAAGAAATAACAAGTAATCTGAATCCTTCAACAGAGAAATAGCATTATAGGAAAGCAATGGTAAATTTAGAGTGGGGTCACTTAATATCACTTATTAATGTTAGAATACACTAACATTAAAGGCTTTTTATAATTGAACTATGTAAAGTAATATTTGCAGCAGTAAAATGAAGAAAACTTTCCACGTAGGCTTTGCATTTGAGGGATGTTTAAAATTAATTCAGAATTAAATTTTTCTAAAAATTGTACAAGTACTGACATGAACACATAGAAATCATCAACTTTCTACTTATCTGAAGTCTCTGGACATGATATGAAAGCTCCTACAGTGAGAAAGGATTTCATGTCTCTACTGGCTAAATTGAAACCACCACCACTGATAATCTCATATTCTAATTACAAAAAATGGCAGAAATATTTTAGCAATCTAACAATTAAAAGTATGTATTGCTTTATATAATGGGAGAATAGATCTCACAGCCACAGATAGTGAGATAGCATTTACATTTTATTCAAACCCACATTAGGTAATAAATTAATCACTAAAGATAGCATCCTTTGCATATTTATTTACTGTCATGTCCACATTTCTGAGACAACTTCAAGTGCCTAAATGTCTGGAATTTTGTCTAGAATAACCAGAAACAATATGGATTCACTCGAAATCATGTTGCATTTTTAATTATCTCCTCTTCTTTTACTCAAAATACATCCATACAATTATGTATAAAGACAGGCTAAGTAGTAGCAAAAGTAACAAAAAAAGAATTATGCATTGAAAATTTAATTTAACAAAAGTCTGGAGAAGTCTGTTGAGAAAATTGCCTCTATACAAACAAATGTAAGATTTTGGCAGTCAGTTCTAGGTCATGATTCCAGTGTGAGAGATATAAATTCAATGATTTAAATAATCACACTTCTATGCAGAAACCAGGAAGATAATATCAAATTTCTATTAGTTAAATCATGCTTGTAATTTTATGTAAGAATTATTAAACTGTAAGCAAGTCAAAATAAATGAAGTAAAGTTTTGAACCATGTACTTAACTAAACTAACTATTTGAATTTGACTGTATTAGAAGCTTGATCAAACCAAGCCCCAAACAAATATGTCTGCTTAAAATATGATGTGTACAACTTTCCTACAGTGGGATGCATGGGCCTGAGGGGACAGCTTCTACCAGTGTCACTAGACATGCTAATAATTCTCATGAATAAAGGCATGACAGCACAATGTTTGAAGTGACATCATGTGTGGTGTTCTTTAACATGCTATAAAAAGAAACGTGGTAATAACACTTGTAACTGTTGAATATAGGTGAGAGTTAACAGAGAAAGAATGTCAGTGCTTTATCCTCATCATTTCCTCTTGTCACACTCTAGCAGAATTGAACTGCTTGAAGTTGTATATCAGGCAAATTTCTCAGAGAATCAATAAAAGTTTATGTATGGTGTGGGAATTGACTCATGTGCTTATGGATGAGAGAAGTACAGGATCCACTGTCTTTAATCAGAAAAAAACAGTTGTCTTATGAAGTCTGAGTTTGGATTATGCCTGAGTTTGAATATCAGGAGCATAAAGATCTCAGGTGCAAAGCCAGAAGAAAGTAGTGGTAGTTCCTTAAGGTATAATTCCCCTTCCTCCACCTTTGTGCTCTGTTGATGTCCTCAGGGAACTGGATGGTATCTATACTTAATGGTGAGAGAAATCTTAAATGAAACTATTGACCAAATATCCTAGTTTGTCTTTCCATTGCTGTGATAAAACACTCTGACCAATAATAATTTGGGGTGGAAAGAGTTTATTTTGCTTACATCTCCCAGATCACAGTTCATCAGGGAGCCCAAGATAGGAACTCAGGGCAGGAACCTGGAGGCAGGAGCTGGAGCACAGACCATGGAGGAACGCTGCTTACTGGCTTGCTCCCCTGGCCCCTGCTCAGCCTGCTTTCTCATGCAACACAGGACCACCTGACCAAGGGTGGAACCACCCACAGTGCGCTGGGCCCTCCCACATCACTCAACAATCAAGAAAATGCCATATTGACATGGCCACAGGCCAGTTCAATAGAGGCAATTCCCCAGTTGAGGCTCCTTCAGCCTAGGTGTGTCAAGTTGACACTAAGCTTTCCAGCACACCAAAGTGCTAATCGCTTTCAGAATAGCCTTGTATAAACACTTAGAAATAGTGTTTTACATATTTTCTGGCGATGCTTTAAATCAGTGTAATGAATGCTTAATATTAACATCACAGATTCCCTCAAAGCTGATGACTTTTTTCATGTTTCATCATATATTCTGATCCCTTTGTAGAATATATTTCAGATGTTTTTTCTCAATTCAAAATCCTCAAAGCGATTTTTCCCTGGTTGGTAACTCTTCGATTGTCCCTGAGCCTGGGGAAGGGAGTGTCTGTAGATGTTCTATATGTCGTTGAGCACTTCACATTAATTTATTCTCTGCACTTTGAGCAGTTGTGAGTTTGTGCATTAGCCACCATCCACTGCAACAAGGAACCTCTCTGATGAGGTTTGTGAGCTATACTTATATACAGGCAGTGAAATACAAATTTAGAGGGAAGTTTGAGACTAGGGACATTTACCAAAATAATGATGTTTACACTTTGGTGAACTGTGAGCACCTCAAACATGGGGTCTAGAATAAATTTTAAGTACCAGGAATGTTTCCTTCCTCCTATGGAGCAGGCTGAAACTTAATGAGAAAGTGGTTGGTTACCCCATAACATTAATGTTACTATTACACCAGTGATCATACCTTGCCAGGCCAGTAATTATTGCAAATCACATGGCTAATGACTGTGTAAGGATACTAATGACTGCCCCCACCCCCAACAACAACAAGCATAGCACCTTCCAGTATTAGGAGAGTGAGCCAGCAGGTTGGATGCTTCCTGGTCAGGAACAATTTATTTCTTCATGTACTATGACCAATATATATGGTGTTTACCATCAAATTTTGCTAGGCAACCAAGAGCAATGGCAATAACCTATATTGTTTGGGGATGCTCTAGGACAGCACTAGCCAACAAACCAAAGAGAGGTGTCCCATACCTGGCACTGGGTTTTTTATTTGCAAATCTAAGGCTTTAGGGATGAGAAAAATCCCTTATGTAGGGTATCTCCAATTAAACTCACATATATGGCTTTTTCAAACATCCTTAGAGTTATTTATCCCTTTCCAACTCCCTCCTCTACCCTACCTTACCATCCTTCACGCCACTAAACCTCTCTCCCCATCATTCCCCCTTTTGCCATCACATCACCTGTGCTTTACTGTCCCACATCCCTTAAGATCTTTTTTCTTCCTCCGGCAGTGATCACTTTCTAGATTCCTAGATTCCACATGAACTCCAAATTAAACACACAATCTAAAGATTCAACACTAAGATCCACATATACATGAAAACATATGAAGTTTGCCTGTCTGTGTGTTGGTTACCTCACTCAGTTTAATATTTTCCAGATTCACATATTTATCTACAATTATGGAAATTTTATTTTTCTTTAAAACTGTATAAAATTTTGCTGTATATGTGTACCATAGTTTTTAATCTGTTAATCAGTTGGTGGACATCTAGGTTGTTTCTGTGTCCCAGTTATTGTGAACAGAACAGTTAAGACTATGGATGAATATGTGTCTCTGTAGTAGGAAATAGAGTCTTTTGGGTATATACCTAAGAGTGGTATATATGACTTATCTGGTAAATCTATTTATACTTTTAAAAGAAACCACCACACTGATTTCCACAGTGGCTGCATCAGTTTGCACTCCCACTAAACAGTGGATGAGGGTTTTCAATAAAAACCTACTAGAACCTAAGTATAAACAATGACTAGAATGGAAACTCTGGCATATAGATATTTAATCTTCTTTAGTGTACTTAACTTCTTTCAGCAAAGGAATGCATGGTTTGCTATTTTAAAATCCTAAAAAGTAAGTAAGGTTATAACAGTCAAATACGGTTCTGTCATTAATTTAGAATCTCAGCACACTGCGTGAAAGCTCTGTGCTTATTTATCTGTCTTATCCATGCCCCATGATCCCTAGGATGTCTTGTCTCATTAGTATCCTCACCCCTTGGTAGTGGGCTTGGCATCTGGGAAGTAAGCACTAAATGCTTGTTGAATAAAGAATAAAGTAACATCAGTGAGGAAGGAACAGAAGACAGAGAGAGATCAAAGTGAGACTAAGACAAAACAAAGCAATCTGCTTTTATGCCAAGAGCCTCCCTTCCCTCATGGAGCTCATAATTGGTGCTTCTGCATTGCCTAGAATATTTGTTCTTTGCTTTGAACTTGCAGGCAAAAACTTTTTGTTTAAAAAAAAGTTTTTAACTTCATTGTAAGATAAACCTCCAAATTTGCTTTTGCTTGCTTATTTGTAAGTCCTGTAGGATAAATGATAAAAAAAACTGAGCAAGATTAATCCAGAAGTAAGCCTCTACAACCAAAGAATAATAATAAAATATTAGCAATTCATTGAGCTATTAGACTTAAATTAATCTTGCTAGGTAAGGTGAGATACTGGGAGCAAACAGAATGTTATAACTTAGGTTCAAAATGTAATTTTCCATAATGAAGTACTATGAAGATTCAATGTGAGAAAACTAGTCTATATTTCCTTATGGTTTCACTATTTTCTTCAATTCCCAATGCTTCCTAGAAATTTGCAATTAATATTGCAATGAAAATAATATCAGTGTTAATATAATCATGAATATTTACAATCATATGCATTTTATGAGTGCTTAATTTGACTTATAAGAGGTCCTAAGTAAAATGACAAAGTTAACAAGTCAGCAAAAGAAAAGCAAGAAAAAAGAGAGTTTCACATATGATTTTACTTATACAAAAACCAAGATCATGAATATGCAAAATAAAGATACTTTCCACT